GCATCTGAAGAAATTCATGATTGCTACCACGCTTCTTATTTACATATTTCTTGCTCACTGACACATCATATTAACAAAGATGTGTCCAAATCAACCCTTAATTATTCTCATATCGGTAACGTAATTATGTAATTCCTGTATTAATTATGTGTAATACATATAATAATATAATATTATTATATTATATTGTTATATTATTATATATATATATATATATATATATATATATATATATTATACATAATTAATACATAAATTACATATTCTAATATTATTATATTATAATTATTATATTATTATATATATGTATATTATACATAATTAATACATAAATTACATAACTACGTTGTCGACATGAGAATGTCAAGGGGGTCATCCTGTACAATATCGGTGTGGGCAATAGTATCGTTGGCTTTCAGTTGATCATATCTCTGTTAGTATGATGTGCCAATGAGGAATAAATATGTAAATAAGAAGCGTGGTGGCAATCATGGAATTTCTTCAGAAATTCGTCATTCGCGTATCACACGAACAAAAATGTTATTCTCAATCGAATAATCTTTTCTCGCATAAATCTAGTCACTCGTCGTTCGCGAATAAGGAATTCCCAATCGAATAAGCTTATCTCGCATAAATGAAGTTATTCATTATTTTCGCGAATAACGAATACAAATTCTGATGCGGGTTAGTTTTGATCTCTGATCATGAAAAATATGTCGATAAGCGCACCATTACCTTGACAGACCGATTCGAAGAATCGGAGCAACAGAATCAGCCAGTATTTCGAATCAGTACACAGTGTTGCGGTTAATGCTAATTAGATGGACGAAGCTCATAATTTAATTTCGTTAAAAATAGATGCTAGTCATATGATGCAATGTTGTACAATGTAATACAAGAGTATTAACGTTTCTCCGTTGGTATTACTTCTAAAGTCGGATTTACCGACACTAATTAATTAGCATTTTAATACACGTTGTATTAAATTTCTTGAAGCAATTTTTACAAGCTCTTATTAAAACACTTTGACGGCCGCAGCAAACATCTCGAAAGTTTCATAAAATTAAAGTATTTTATTCAATGAAATATGTAGAAAAATTGCACAGCAAATTTATGTGACATACATTACTTTTTCAACATTTTTACTTACTCATTCGAATCTTAATAAAATTAAGAAATTATAATGCACAAGCGTAGAAAAATTAATTTTCGAAAATTAAATTTTAAATAACTCTGTTACACACATGTGGGTGTCGCGGCAGTCAAAGTATTAATAATGTAATTATAATACACTTTTTTAATAGTGCAATTCTGATATACCTTATTAACCCTTTGCACTCGCCGCCATTTCATGCGAATCATTTCACCGTGAATCTAAACTAATTTTTCTGACTTATTCTTTCTGACTTATTATTAATTTCTTACTAAGTACTTACTACACTTAATTACTAATTATTATTAACTTCTTATTAATTTCTGACTTATTATTATTATATTTCTATTTTACGTGAAAATTTTATATTGTCACTCGTACAACAATTGCACTTTTAACAATTCCTGAAATCTAAACCTCGATTGTATATAAATTATCTTGAAACGTGATATAACAATTTTAGTGGCGTCTCGGAGTCGCCACTCGAGCGCAAAAGGTTAATAATATAAACAGGATAAATTTGGTTAAAGATATAATTATGGCACATCCTTCAGAAAGCTACGCTGAATCGATTTTTATAATTTAAGTTCTCGTGAAGTCACGTGTACACGACCTTCGGTCGACAAAGTGTTAAGATTAACGTGAACTGATATTAATAAAAGAAGTTTCCCATGTATTTTTCTATACCTTAAAATAAATTTTTATAATGCAAACTATCGGCGTAGGTTCCATGTGAATTTTAATATGCGGCAATGTGCAAGAATTAACAATATTAATGTTTCTAGCGACAATGATTGCTAGTTCACGAAGGGAATTTGTTGACGTTTAAAACAATTTTAAGAAAAACAATCGCCTCGACGAGATATATCAATACTATATGAAAACATATAAAAGTCAAAAATATGTAAATCTGTTATTATTTATTTCATATAATTAGTCTGATGAGAACGTAATTTCATCTACCAAGGAAGAATCTACAAATTCAGTTTAAACAAGAATCTACAAATTCATAATACGAATTTATATTTAATACGATTCAATATAATCGTATTTTATTTCACCTCATTCGATGATTTCGCAGTAAACATTAACACTACATTTACAAAACCCGTCAAAACGACAGGTCACTAATTTTTTCATTTACGATTATTCACATCGCAAAGCTACATTTACAAGTTGTTTATTCAATACACGCGTTACTCGCATCAGATATTACAATAACCACAATAAATGCCTCGATGAAAACCACAATAAATGTCTCATCGTTGCTTTGATAAATAATATACATTTCATAACATTTATTAACATTTATTAATTTGCAATATAAAACATCTGTTCCCCGCGCTCCGTAAACCTAACACGAGTACATCATTTTCGTAAACAAACGCGTTTCGCAACGCGGAACAAACGCAGCGCGCACGAAAACCAAACTATAAACACATTCGTTTATTACAATAAAACCACAGGCGTCACGTGACACGCGGCGCGACCATAGAACGCGAATCAGGCCAAGTTCGCGGCACGAGCCGCGACGCCGTGGAGCCGCGCTCGGTTCCAAGGAACTTCCGGCGCCTAACCAATCCCCGTGGTCGTTGTTGTTGCAGACGCAGCGGCTTGGCACGTCAGCGTGAGTCGAATCGGAGAGAGGGACAGTGTCTTCGGATCGATACGCAGCCGGTCTAGGGACAGTAGTCCAGAAGATGTTGCAAAGCTGCAACGGTGGCGGGTCGAGATGCGCCCGGCGCGCCCTTGTCTTCGTGTTCGCCTGGGGGCTGGTGATGATCGCGGCGGTGCAGTTCCGGCACGTGGAGAACAGCCTGAGGGAGTCCCCGACGGCCGATGAGACGGCCGGCGACGTCCTGGTGGAGGACGCGTACCGTCGCCGAGACGAGCCGGTGAACCATCGCGGCTCCTCGAGCCTCGGCCTGTCGCGGTACCTTCTGCAAAGGTCGCCGGCGGACGCCAGTTTCTCGAACTCGGCCGGGTCCGGCATCCTGACGACCTTGACCACGCTGCTGAACGGGCCGACGAAGAATCCGCTGGACCTGGAGCCGATGCTGGACAAGAGGCCGGCTAAAACGGAAGAGGAGCTGATCCGAGAGATCGAACAAAGGCTGCCGAGCCTTCCTCTGGCCTACTGGAGCAAGAACAACAAGTACTCCGGCGGTCAGAGCAAGTCGAAGAGCAACGACAGCTGCTCGAACCTGAAGTATCCCTCTATCTACGACATAGAGTTCAACAACGTCTACTGGCAGACGATGAGGACCAGCAACGGGACGTTCCAGTTCTTCGGCGCGTTCTACGACAGGCGCAAGCTGTCGAGGATCGGGCCGGCGATCAGGATAGTGGGGATGATCGACCGGATCGAGCCCACCGTGAAGACCCATTGCCAGCTGTGGTACGACGGGGAGAGGGAGCCGAGGGTGGTCGAGACCTTGGAGTACAAGTACATCTGGTACCCGAAGTGGGGCAACTACAAGCAGGGCATCTACCAGCCCTACGTGATCGCCTGCAAGGTGCCCCAGTCCCACTGGCTGAAGGGGCCGCCGGCCTCTGTCTCGATGGTCGAGAAGCCGTGCGACACGCCCAGCAACAACCTCCGGGTGATCTACAACAAGCCCGAGCGCAAGAAAGACTTCGCGGTCTGCGTGAAAGGCCTGGACTTTCTTCACGAGGACCTGTCGGTCAGGCTGGTCGAGTGGATCGAGCTGATCACGCTGCTCGGCGCCGACAAGATCTTCTTCTATCAGCTCCAGGTGCATCCGAACGTGACCAAGGTGCTCGACCATTATCAGAGGCTGGGCAAGGTGCACGTCACACCGCTGACCCTGCCCGGCGGCCAGCCGAACGTGCCCGCGTTCCAGCACATGTACCTCACCAAGAAGACCAACCACAAACGGCAGAACGAGCTGATACCCTACAACGACTGCCTCTACAAGCACATGTACGAGTACGAGTACATCGCGTTGCTGGACGTCGACGAGGTGATCATGCCGGTCAAGGACGCCACGTGGCAGGACCTGATGAAGAGGGTGCTGAACAAGGCGTTCAAGATTAGGAACGAGACCAGGGCGTCGTACAACGTCAGGAACGTCTACTTCCTCGACGACCTACTGCACTCCCATGGGTTCTTCAAGGACATACCGAAGTGAGTAGGGTCTCGACTTTCACGCGGCGCGGTTTAGCGGTCGAGCGGAGCCGAGCGGAGCCGAGCCGAGCCCGGCCGTTCGGGACAGGGAAGAGATAAATTCGTGACCTCCGGCGAGCCACAGCCTTCCGACGCCATTGTCGCGTTACGTAACGTGTTAATGATCCCGGCTGAATCACTGGCTGCCGGTGATCGCGCGCTTTTATGGAAAATCGTTTTATGGCTTCGGCTGTTTTCGGCGTGGCCGCCGGCTATGCTGCTCGAGTCTGGGGCTCTCAGATGATCGGCTGATCTTGGAAGTTTCGGTCAAGATTGGTAGCGTTCGACGGTGTCGGGGATTAGGATCGCAATCTGCTCCGAGTGGCGGAGAGGAGACCTTGGGAATGGGATCGGATGATGCCGATGGATTGCCAAAGGAATTCATTGTTATTTTCTAATCTCATTTGTGAGGTTTTCGGTTTGATACTCTGCAGCATGCTCCTATTTTTACTGTAAAGGGCCTAGCCGAATATATTAGGGGGACCGGAAAGTAATGTCGTTTCTGCGCATGTCAGTATCCCTTTTTTTGCGGACTAATTTTTGCATAATAAAAATTTGCATACTGAATGAAAAAAGGTTGCTGATAATGAGGGTGATTACATCTCATCGAAAATAAAAACTAGTCAAAAATTTGTCTGNGCTCGGCGCCGACAAGATCTTCTTCTATCAGCTCCAGGTGCATCCGAACGTGACCAAGGTGCTCGACCATTATCAGAGGCTGGGCAAGGTGCACGTCACACCGCTGACCCTGCCCGGCGGCCAGCCGAACGTGCCCGCGTTCCAGCACATGTACCTCACCAAGAAGACCAACCACAAACGGCAGAACGAGCTGATACCCTACAACGACTGCCTCTACAAGCACATGTACGAGTACGAGTACATCGCGTTGCTGGACGTCGACGAGGTGATCATGCCGGTCAAGGACGCCACGTGGCAGGACCTGATGAAGAGGGTGCTGAACAAGGCGTTCAAGATTAGGAACGAGACCAGGGCGTCGTACAACGTCAGGAACGTCTACTTCCTCGACGACCTACTGCACTCCCATGGGTTCTTCAAGGACATACCGAAGTGAGTAGGGTCTCGACTTTCACGCGGCGCGGTTTAGCGGTCGAGCGGAGCCGAGCGGAGCCGAGCCGAGCCCGGCCGTTCGGGACAGGGAAGAGATAAATTCGTGACCTCCGGCGAGCCACAGCCTTCCGACGCCATTGTCGCGTTACGTAACGTGTTAATGATCCCGGCTGAATCACTGGCTGCCGGTGATCGCGCGCTTTTATGGAAAATCGTTTTATGGCTTCGGCTGTTTTCGGCGTGGCCGCCGGCTATGCTGCTCGAGTCTGGGGCTCTCAGATGATCGGCTGATCTTGGAAGTTTCGGTCAAGATTGGTAGCGTTCGACGGTGTCGGGGATTAGGATCGCAATCTGCTCCGAGTGGCGGAGAGGAGACCTTGGGAATGGGATCGGATGATGCCGATGGATTGCCAAAGGAATTCATTGTTATTTTCTAATCTCATTTGTGAGGTTTTCGGTTTGATACTCTGCAGCATGCTCCTATTTTTACTGTAAAGGGCCTAGCCGAATATATTAGGGGGACCGGAAAGTAATGTCGTTTCTGCGCATGTCAGTATCCCTTTTTTTGCGGACTAATTTTTGCATAATAAAAATTTGCATACTGAATGAAAAAAGGTTGCTGATAATGAGGGTGATTACATCTCATCGAAAATAAAAACTAGTCAAAAATTTGTCTGTTTGAATTTAATGTAAACACAAACGACATAACTTTCCGGTCCCCCTATAAGTATGCTAAAAGTGCCCTTCAAGTATGATTGAACTTAGTATGCACTGTTCGATAGGTTCTCCAAAGGAAACCTTTTCTTCCAAATGGCTGCTTGGTATAGTTATTATTGGGGTGGTTACAGGGTTGAACGCGATTTACAGTTTCAGTTCTCCTATTTCTCCTATTCTATTCGATGGAAAATTATGAAAACATTTATGAGGATTCTATCGCATCAAATACATATTCGAGAATTTTCTCAGATTTTTTGGTTGCAAAAACGATTTTTAAACGATCAAGAAGGGTTTGATTTGCCGATTTTCTGTTGAGATTGTAAAGAGTTCGCTATTATGTTTTTATAGTGTGTTGTCTATTGTTATAGTTGGTAATATATAATTTTGTCAGGTTTCCCGAAATTGGGTTACGTGTCTAAAAAAATGGAAAATGATTTTTTCTTCGTTTACGTTTTAGAATGCAAAAAAGTGACATACTAACGCGTTCAAAAAACGTAAACTGTGAAAATATAAAAGTGGTCATTATTTCACTATTATTATACATTATATACTATATAATTATTATATATTTACTTGATTACATATAATTAAATAAATAATTATAAATAATTATATAATTATTATATATTATATATTATACATTGTCGTCACTATTTCAACACAAAAAATCGGCAATTTAAATGTATCTTGACTTTTTAAAAATCGGTCTTGCCATCGAAAATTCTGAAAAAATTCTCAAATGTGTCTCAAAGGGGACAGAAGCCTCATGAATTTTTTGATAATTTTCTGTTGAATGGAATCGGAAAAATAGAGCTAGAACCATAAATCGCGTTTAACCCTGTAACCACAATAAATCCTCCCTAACTGACGCTCAGATTGCACAGAAAATAAACGGATAATTCGGGAAGAGTAGATACGATTATTCGAGTCATTCGTGCACAATATAAAAATAAATATAGATATAAAATTACGAAGAAATAAAAAGAATTTAATAATATCGCAACACTACAGTGAATTCTCCCCAATTTTCCTTCAGCTTGTAAACAAAAATGGATAATTTGGAAAGTGGAGATACGATTAGTTATATTTTTATAGTCGCCGTTTGTCAACGATTCTAAAAACAAGATGCAAGGCTCAAATAATAGCATCTCTTCCTCCCAAATTGTCCTTTCTCGTGTACAGTCTGATCAACAATTACGAAGAATTTACTGCACCCCAATAGCATAAACACCAAGGGTTATACTTATGAGAACAAAATTTCTTTGAATTTATTATATATATTATCAATAATATATTATAATATATAATAATATATAATAAATATATAATACAATATATAATAATAATATTAATATATATATTATCAATAATTATACTATATATATTATATATATTATTAATTAGCGTATACAACTCCACATCGTCTCGGAAGTACTACCACCATACTTATTTAACCAGACCCTTTAAATAAATTCACTTCTCTCATAAATTCGCATAAATAAATTAGCTCCTAAAAAGTCCGGTCATCCTAAAAGAAATCATCCCTGCCCGAGAAGCAATTCTTCTGCAAACGTAATTATCTGTTCACAGGTACATGCACATGCTGCAGCACGTGTACCGCTCGAAGAACTTCACGAAGCCGAACCAGTACATCAAGTGCTTCCACAACCCCGAACGGGTGGTCACCCTGCACAACCACTTCCCCTTAGCCTGTTTGGGCGCGGGCTGCACCAGCTACCCTATCGAGACCGAGGACGCGCAGCTGCAGCATTACCGAGCGGACTGCGTGAAGTCGTTGAAGAAGACCTGCGTCGAGTACAGGGAGAACAGCGTGTTGGACACGACGATATGGCGGTACAGGGACCAGCTGATCGACAGGGTCACCAGGACCCTGGAGGCTCTGGGCTTCTTCAGGCCCAGCTAGCCCCAGGCAGGGCGCTCCGTTCCGAACGTTCCTCCATTTCCGCTTCCCGCGTTGCTCCACGGCTTGCCCGCTCCTCGAGATCCCGCGGGACGAGGCTGCTCGTCGACGACGGCCCCCTCGCTCTAGCTCGCTTCCGCTTATTTCGTTCCGCTCTTCGACGAAGAGCCGGCGAGGACGAAGCTTTCCGGCGACGAATTCGCCCAAAACCTCGGCGAACGGCGCGACGCCGCCGGCCGAACGGGATCCTCTAACAAGAGAAAAGATCGATTTCGAAAGAGCTCATTGATCGTTGGGCAACCTGCTGGAAACGCCGGGGAAACGCTGCGTCATCCAGAGGTGCAAGAATTTAATGAGTAGTCTCGTTTCAAAACTTCCCAGCTCGCGGACGAACCGGATGATGAAATTAGCTAAACAGCCGCTGCCGGTTTATCCTCGTTCTCGATAACCGTGATCGATGCTGCAGCGATCGCTGGATCAACGACTGCAGATGTTCGTTGACTATGGGACAAATTGCGTCCTCTAGGAGGCCGGTTAACTCGTCGCGATGTCCTATTTTCCTCGCGCCTTCGAGGCTGCTCTTTGCCTTCGGGACTCTCGCGTCCTAAAATTCCTTGGGCCAGCAGGTTGCCGCCAAATCGGAGCACCCGCTGCGTCCGAGACGATGACTCAATTTTCTAGAATTCGTTTTCTAGAGTTCCAAACTCGCTGGAGAGTCGTCGCGAGCGATCGAGGTCTCCTCGAGATCGGGACCAGCGAACGCGACGTTTCAGCAGCGTCGCGGCTCGTCGCGAGGAGGATCGGCGCGCGCGCGCGGCGTCCCGCGAAAAAGCGCGAGCGGTCCTCTCCGGCTCGGCACAAAGAATCGAAAGCGTGGGTATCGGGTGTCCGCGACGATTCCCCGGGCTTGCGCAACGCCATTGCGGTCGAGATTTTGCGAAACGAGGCGCGCACGGTTTGCCAATCGGCCGGGCCGCCGGATCGGCAGGAGAGCCCGCGAGGATCGTCCTTGCTATATTTAGCACCGGCCCGAACTTGTGCAAGCGCAATGTGCACGTTGCCCCGAGAGATTCGCGCCGGTTCCCGACCGATCGTGCGGCACGAATCCGCGGAACAGTTCCGCAAGAGCTGCTCGAAAAATCCTTGTCAACCGAGTTCCAGGTAACTGTACCGCGGCAAGGATCGTTCTAATCGATTCGTAGATTCAGTCCAGCCGTTCCGATCGTCCTAGAACGATCCGGGTCGTTTGCCGCGCTCTATTTTTCCTGTTCCATTCGACAGAGAATGACGAGAGAAAAAATCATCGCTTTTTGATAATTAATTATCGGGCTGCGAATTTTATGCGTTCGCGGGACAAAATGAGTGGCCGAAATATGAAATTATAAGACGTAAGAAGATGTTAATAATATTGCGACATTATAGTGAATTCTCCTTAATTTTTCTTCGGGTTGTAAACAAAAATGGACGATTTGGAAGGAGGAGATAGAAATAGTCGAGCCTTGGAATGGAAATGAAAATGGATTGCTGGAAAAATGGATTAAAATAAAGGTGAATTATAAAAGAAAGATTATTAAGATCCTCGCGGCACGTTTTTATAGTCGGTGATTATCAACGATTTTAAAGACAAGGTTTAAAGGTATTTTAAAAGCAAGATTTAAATAATTGTGTCTCTTCTTCCTAAATTGTCCATTTTTTTTGGTATAATCTGTGCGTTGATTAGGGAGAATTGACTATGGTTACAGGGTTGAACAAGATTTACGGTTCGTTTCTATTTTTACGGTTCATTTCGGATTTCTATTTTTCCTGTTCCATTTGACAGAAAATAACGAGAGAAAAGATCATCGCTTTTTGATAATTAATTATCGGGCTGCGAATTTTATGCGTTCGCGGGACAAAATGAGTGGCCGAAATATGAAATTATAAGAAGACGTAAGAAGATGTTAATAATATTGCGACGTTATAGTGAATTCTCCTTAATTTTTATTCAGCTTGTAAGCAAAAATGAACAATTTGGAAGGAGGAGATAGAAATAGTAGAGCCTTGGAATGGAAATGGAAATGGATTGCTGGAAAAATAGATTAAAATAAAATTTATAAAAACAAGGTAGATTATAAAAGAAAGATTAATCGATCCTCGCGGCACGTTTTCATAGTCGGCGATTGTCAACGATTTTAAAGACAAGGTTTAAAGGTTTTTTAAAAGCAAGGCTTAAATAATTGTGTCTCTTCTTCCTAAATTGTCCATCTTTTTTTGGTACAATCTGAGCGTTGATTAGGCAGAATTTACTGTGGTTACAGGGTTGAACGCGATTTACGGTTCTAGTTCCATTTTTCCTGTTCCATTCAGCAGAAAATTATCTAAAAAATCATAAGGCTCCTGTCCTCTTAGATACACATTCGAGAATTTTTCCAGAATTTTCGATCGCAAAACCGATTTTTAAAAAATCAAAATACATTTAAATTGCCGATTTTATATCGAAATAGCAAAGTGACCACTTTAATGTTACAAGATTACAGAAAATTTATATTTGTCGAATATCACGTTGTTGGAAATCGTGTTGCACGAGAAATCGTGTTACAGTCGATTCTACCAAATTGTCCCTCAGCTTGGAAACAAAAATGGTCGATTTGAAAAGAGGAGACACGAATATTCCACGCTGCTCATTTTTATAGTCATCGATAGTCAACAATTATAAAAGCGAGTCTCGAGCCTCGAATAAGTCGTATTCCTCAGTCGTATTTCCTCTTCGCAAATTGTTCATTTTTCTGCGCGATCTGAGCGCATAAGAAGAAATAAGGAGAAATTATTATAAAAATCGACCACGAGCACGCATTTATGGAAGCGCGATGATACCGTTTAATCGAAGCTATCCTGTAGCATTAGTCGGACTTATCCTTTCCGGAAGAGCAGCGCTCGCAGTGTACCGTGTCGGCTGCTTTCCTCGGTTGCTTTTTTTAATCTTATCGGAAGATAACGGAGAGGAAAGATGACTGGATTCTCGGTGGCAAACCCGGTAGGATGTCGCATGAAGCTCGCCGCCGTCTCGTGGACTTCGGACCGCCTTGAGAATTCGATCGAGAAGACTGAAATCGAAACGTTCTCCCCCCGCGTTCGCGAGTCAATATTGGAGTTTTCTAAATATTGTACCATCCAGGTTAATTATCGAGATATTGTTTGCCGAGGCCGGCGTACACCTGGCTGGTTACGGCAGTGTTTGCCGCAAACACGCGCTGTTTGGACTGCGAATCACTCCGTTCGTCGCTAATATTCTCTACACGTTTGCCGAGGATTTATAGTACCGATAATCCGTCGAAATCCAGCTAACGCGATTATCTCCAATTTGGCGGGACCGGATGGAACGTGGAAGGCGGAGCGTTTGAGCGCGGACTCCGTGGAAGTCGGACGCGTAGATTGAACATGTGTGCCTTTTCGGACTGTCCACAGTCCACAGTCAAGCGAACGATGTTTTTTTTCACGAACGAGGCGGCCTTAATGTAGCAATACTTAGAAATCTGCGGGATCGTTGCTAAACGATACAGAGGATGGCTCAAAACTAGCGTAACAAACGACAATACGATTCCGAAGCTCGATGCCAGCGGAGAAGTCCACTCTAATTGTAAAACCACCGCGTCGTTTGTGAACCCGCGGATTAACGTTGCATAAAGTAATAATTGGAGTTTCGCAACATGCGTTATTTTTATATTTAACTTTTACCAGAGCCGTGTCTCCTGGAAAAAGTAACTTCGGCTGCAACTGCAGTAAATTCTCCCCGATTGCTCGGATTGTGCACGAAATTGGACGATTTAGGAAGAGGAGACACGATTGTTCGAGCCTCGCTGCTCGTTTTTATAGAGTTGCCGATTGTCAAGAATTATAAAAATGAGGTACAGGGCTTAAATAGTTGTGTCTCTTCTTCCCAAATTGTCCATTTTTGCGTACAATTTGTGCGTCAATTCGGGAGGATTTACTGTGATTACAGGGTTGAACGCGATTTACGGTTCTAGCTCTATTTTTCCTGTTCCATTCAACAGAAAATTATCTAAAAAATCATAAGGCTCCTGTCCTCTTAGATACACATTCGAGAATTTTTCCAGAATTTTCGATCGCAAAACCGATTTTTAAAAAGTCAATATACGTTTAAATTGCCGATTTTATGCTGAAATAGCGAAGCGACCACTTTTATGTTACAAGATTACAACAAATTTTACGTCGTATCACATTGTTGTAAATCGCGTTGTACGAGAAATCGTGTTACAGTCGATTCTCCCGAATTGTCTCTCGGCTTGGAAACAAAAATGGACAACTAGAAAAGAGGAGACACGATTATTCGAGCTGCTTATTTTTATAATCACCGATTGTCAACAATTATAAAAGCCAGGCGCAATGCTCGAGCAATCGTGTCTCTTCTTCCGAAATTTCCCATATTCCCACATTTTTGTGCACAATCCGAGCGTGAATCGGTGAGAATTGACTGTATTCGGCGGTGCCGAAATCAAAATAGTATTTCTTTTCGGGATTTGTTTCGCTATCGACAGAAAATCATATACTAAATAATAATTATTGTTAGAACAGAAGTTCGCGTAGTACATATATGGATGCTTCTAGATCGGAATAAAATGTTCCGTCCTCCGAAAACGATGCTGCATCACGTAACAATCGTAAACGGATCGATAAATGTCTTTCGTATATTTCTGCCATTGATCACATTTTATGTCAATGTTCGATTTGATCCCTTCGAATGCCGCATCGATGTATGTACACATATTATTGGCACGTGCGTGTGTGAACCGAACAAAAATTCTTCTTCTTCTTCATTAATCGCGCGATTCATTCGGCTCGCGAGTAATCGACGTAGGGAGCGGCTCGAGTTTTGTTCGCGCGTTATCGCGCGACGGCGGATTTTGCGGTTGACGAAGTGTCGTTGACAATCGTGGGGAGCTGTCGCTTATTTCCGGCAGTGACTCGGGGTCGGGGTGGCGGACAGCGTCGAAGTAATCGGTAATCTGTGGTCGCACTGGAAGGAGCAGATATATTATAAAGCTGACCAAAGATTAATACAATATATACTGCGCCCTCCGTCGCCACGTTCGCTCAGTCGCCGCTTCACCGTGCGCAAATTTTATGATCAGGCTGCGGATCTTCGTGCGAGATAAAATTTTATTCTGTTATTAAATTAAGTTAATTACTAATTAAATTATTATTGAATATTTAAATAAATTTATGTATGTTATTATTCAATTATCATTCAATTATCATTCAATTATTATTCAATTGTCATTCAATTATTATTCAATTGTCATTCAATTATCATTCAATTATTATTCAATTATCATTCAATTATTATTCAATTATTATTCAATTATCATTCAATTATCATTCAATTATTATTCAATTATTCTTGAATTATTATTCAATTATATCACGATCGATTATATGAGCCGTTTATTTTGAAAGTGGCATAAGTCACTTTACCGTAATGAAAAGTGATGATTTTTTAATGTTTATACGAAATTATTTATACTGAGAACAATATCAGTATCCTGAGATAACAAATACAAGTAAATCTTCTCGAAAGTTAGCATCCATATTTTTAAACGTGTTAAAACGCAAACCCTTAAATATATCGACTTAAAAACAAAGTGACTTATGCCACTTTCAAAATAAACGGCTCATATTATCGATTATATCTCGAGCCGAATAGAAATTTCTTTCGCTTTTCAATAACCGCGTCGATTTGATAATAATACATAAATGATCTTAAATCGTTTGAAATTTCCACGATCTGTATTTTTATTGTAAATGCACGAAATCCGCAGTCCAGCTGTAACTATAGTCGCTTAGTCGGTACATAAAATTACGGTTATCACGTTCGCTATCAGCGTCGCTGGCGTACGCTTCCATTTATTTATCGTTACATTTATCATTGTTACATTTATCGTATTTATCATATTTATCGTATTAATCATATTAAATACACATAAACGCACTTCCATAAAATATAATAAAAATATCGCCAGAGAGAAGCCATAAATTTTCCAGACATCATGATGCTGTGTCTTACAATTTCAAATAATAACTTCAAATTTCACTTGTATTCACAAAATTCGTTTGACGTTCCTTAAGTAAATTATAAAATGGCGATCGTCGCGCATTTGCGGCGCCGGTAGCGAGCGTGTGAAACGCGCGAAATGCCTTCGACGTTTAAACGATTGCTCGAAACGATTGCATGCGATATTCCAATGATCACGCGACGCAAAAATGTCGGATGTGTTTCACCGTCGCCTCGACGCGTGGACCGTCTACGTTCTCCAAAATGGCGGCCCGGAGTCTACGGCCGGCAGCAAGCGCGCACGCCTCCCGCGGAACGCGGCCCGAAAAT